ATTCCATTCCAATGTCTCCTCGTAGGTGTCGAGTTATATCTTGCTAATAAATTGGTAGCGAAAGATATATCTGGTCTGGTGCAATTAGCAAGATACATAAGGGCTCATATTGCACTTATATATGGTATTTCAGGACCAAGTATTTCTTCATCTTCTTCACAAGGTCGAAATGGATCCTTTTCAACATCTAATGTTCGATTGACCATTAGGGTACTAAGCGGATTAGCCTTGTCCATATTGAATCGTTTCAATATTCTTTTAGTGTAATTAGATTGATGGACAAATATCCCATTTTGGACTCGTTCTATTTGCAAGCCGAGACAATATTTGGTCTGTCCAAGATCTTTCATTTCAAATTCGCCTTTTAGTAAAGTGACTGCTTCTTGAATTTCATTTGTGGTCCCAATAATATTAAGATCATCGACATAGACAACAATTATCACAACTCCATCTTGTGATCTTTTTATAAAAACACACGGGCATATTTGAATATTTATGTATCCCCGTTTAAGTAATTGTTCACTCAAACCAATTATACCACATACGCCCGGATTGTTTCAAGTCATACAATGATCTTTCCAGCTTTATCACACATAACTCTTTAGGTTTGGACTTTAGTGCTTCGGGTATTCTAATTCCTTCTGGAATTTTTACATAAATGTCAGCGTCTAGCGATCCATATAAGTAAGCAGTCACAACATCCATGAGACGCATCTCAAGATTTTCATGGACGACCAAACTAATCAAGTATCTGAAAGTAATTGCATCCATAACAGGTGAATATGTTACATTATAATCGATCCCAAGCCTCTGGGAGAATCCCTGTAAAAACGTCACCTGTTTTTGGCTCAAGGTATTTGATTATTGATGGAGATTCATATCCAACATATATTCTCAACCTTCGTTGAGGCCCCATTTTTGTACGTTGGGGCGGAGCAATTGGTGCATACACTGCACAACTAAAAATTCTTATATGTGCAATATTTGGTTCTCGACCATATGCCAACTGTAATGGCGAGTATGTATGGTGTGCACTTGGTCTTATGCGAATTAGATCATCTGCATGCAGAATAGCATGTCCCCATATTGAAGTGGGGAGTTTTGTCCTCATTATCAATGGTCTGGCTATAAACCGCAGTCATTTAATGAATGATTCTGCTAGACCATTTTGAGTGTGAACGTGTGCTACAGGATGTTCAACATCAATTCCCACTGCCATACAATAATCATTAAATGCTTGAGATGTAAACTCTGCAGCATTGTCAAATCTGACTCTTTTGATAATATAATCTGGGAATTGAGCCCTTAATTTAATAAGTTGGGCAAGTAATTTAGCAAATGTCACATTTCTAGTGGATAACAAACTTATGTGAGACCATCTACTAGAGGCATCAATTAACACCATAAAATATCTGAATGGACCACAAGGTGGATGAATGGGTCCACATATAACTCTTTCTAAAAATAATGGTGATTCATGCCCGACTTTAGTATGTGATGGTCTTATTATCAATTTCCCTTGAGAACATGAGGCACATGTTAATTCATGTGTTTGAAATATCTTATGATTTTTTAATGGATGCCCACTAGAATTTCAATAATTCTTCGCATTATTATTGAGCCAGGATGACCAAGTCGATCATGCCAAAGTGTAAACATTTCAACCGACTGTGAATTTGTTACAGCATAAGTCTCGATAATTGAATGCGGGGATTATATAAGCCCGAGGATAAAGCTGGTAATTTCTCCAAAACACATTTATTGCCCGCAATATTTGAGGTAATGCAAAGATATTCAACTTCCTCTTTATTCATTGTTTCAACGTGGTATCCGTTCATTCGGATATCTTTACAACTCAACAAGTTTCTTGTTGATTTTGGGGAGAATAATGCATCATTCAATGTAAATTTTGTACTTCCCATCATAAAAAATATGGTTTTTCCAGAACCCTCAATTATCTTTACATTTCCGGATATTGTGTTTACTTTTGCTTTATTTAATTTCAAGTTGACGAAATATTTCCTGTCCTTGAGTATAGTATGAGTAGTGGAGAAATTGGCAATACATATATCTCCATTTTGGATTCGAGACCGATCCATGATCTAAAAGAAAACAACATTTATTATTGATTAAAGTCGAAATACAGATAAAAGCACACAAATACAACAAAACTCAGAAAGCAATAAAAACATGATCATCAGTTATCCTCTTGGTCATTTCCAACTCTGTCTTCAACTACCGCATCGGCAAAATCCAGATTCAATATGGCATCAATGCCATAGTCATCATCCACACGTGTCCCCCAACCATAAAATTGGTTTCTATATTTTTATCTTTTGATTTCTAGGAATGTTATAATTATCAACAACTTGTCTCGGAGCACGACAATTTCGCGCCCAATGTCCCGTCATTCCACATCGATAACATACCTTTTCATCATTATTCTTCGTCACTTATTTTGTTCAAATTTTGACTGGAAATTTCTCCTCCTTTCATAATTTTGGGCATAGTTACGACCTCGTCCACGATTATATCCCCAACCCGAGTTATACCCTCGGTGAAATTTGTGGACTTGGTCAAATCGGCGATCTGGACCATATCCACGGCCACGTCCACGTCCACGTCCACGACCACGTCCCGAAGTATATCCACTCATATATGTTTGGCTGTTTTCATTTCCGGTTCCCTGTCTAGATATTACAACATTTATTTCAGGAACCGCAGTAGACCCCGTGGGTCTAGATTCATGGTTCTTCATCAACAGTTAATTATTTTGTTCTGCTAGCAACAAGCAAGAGATTAATTCAGAATACTTCACAAAGCCTTTTGCTCTGTATTGTTGCTGCAAAAGTACATTTGAAGCGTGGAACGTGGACAACATTTTTTCCAGCATATCGTAATCAGTTATGTTTTCTCCACATAATTTCAACACCGAACAAATGCGGAACATTGTTGAATTGTACTCGTTTACAGTTTTGAAATCTTGGAAGCGTAAGTACATCCATTCATAACGAGCCCGGGGGAGAATCACCGTTTTCTGGTGATCATACCTTTCTTTCAAGGCTTTCCAGAGATCTGCAGGATCTTTTACAGTTAAATATTCATTTTTCAATGCCTCATTCAAATGATGCCTCAGAAATATTATTGCTTTAGCTTTATCTTGTATTGATGAATTATTTGGGGAGATTATTGTTTCTCCCAACCACCTTGCAGCCAAGTGAATTTCGGCATCCAATGTCCATGATATATAATTTTTTTCCAGATATATCGAGAGCTTCAAATTCAAGTTTGACCAGATTTGTCATGATAACTATAAAATAAAACATCAATGCATAGATTCGAAAAATTACATAATAATTAATTCTTCAATACGTACAAAAGAGCAAATAATAAACACATTATACAAAGACCTAATACATAAAATATAAATTCAGCATAATGATACAACATCGCGAATATTACTAAAGCATATATAATAAACAATATAATGGTAATTATAACTAATGGATCAAACATTTTTTTTTTCTTATTCTTATTTAAAAAATATTTTGAGTGTTTGGATAATGAAAATGAATTGTAGTGTTATATATAGATATTGGTAAATAGCCGTTGCAATATAGCCGTTAAGTAGCCGTTGGAAACAAATTAATGATATAATATTTATTAGTTAATCACTTATGATTATAAAATTCTAATTAATCATGTATATTACCTTTAAAATTCTCCGAGTCATTACGTAAACAATTTAATGAATATAAATAACAAAGCAAATAAAAATGTCACTCCACACTACTCAGATAAATCTTTCGGTGGGTACAAGAATAAACAGTTATAAATTTCACGCCACATTACTGGGTAAACCATTTTGTGGGTGTTAAGTATAAGTAATAATATTATTTATTATAACTTGAATAATAATTTATAAACAAATTCAATAATATCAGATCACCACATATTATTGACTATGGCATAGCCTAATTTGCCAATAATAATGGTAATGTGTAGATAATATCATATTTAGTATACACATATCTTTGACTGTGGTAGAGCCTAACTTGTCAAGAATAATAGTAATATATTCATATTTAGTATATTCATACCACATATCTTTGATTGTGGCAGAGCCTAACTTGTCAAGAATAATGGTAATATGTATATTAGTGAAATATACTAACTTTATGTAATACATATACATATATATATTACTATTATTGGTTACCTACCTTTCTGACCGGGTAGAGCGCTCGTGCTGATAACGTGTTATAAAATGCGGGAAATATAAAAAACACAATGTAAAAACCGGATACAAATTATAAGATGCTTTCTTTCCTTCAGTTCTTCCGTACCCAAAATTACAATCCCTTTTGGCCTTTTTATAAACAAATTCTAAGGATCTTGGCACACACTTCAATACATATAATAATAATTCACATGATAAGATTGTAATTAGTGGTAAATCCACTTATCATAACAAATTTATATTTTTGACCAAGAAGTTTCAAAATATGTTTGATCAGGATTTTCAAAAAAAAATAAATAAATAAATAAAAAAAAAAGTTACTAAGTTTAATAAATTTTTAGACACAGGAATCCTAATTCTTTTTTAAGCTACCATGTCGGTTTTTTTAGATTCTCTTAATCTATCATCTATAATCTATAATATAGATAATAGATTTGCATTGGACTCGATATTCAACCCTCTGCTCCATTGACATCCCACATAGACGAACAAAAACCTCAAATAAATGAATAATAACAACCCATTACCCATCCTATAAATGTGTCTGTCGGCATCACAACTCAAAATCCCAAAACATTCAACCAACGAAACTCCATAAAAAGAAAAAAACAAAAAAAATCATAAACACAAAACATTGACACTGAAGAATATCCAAATTCTAAAAACAAATATAACCTTACCAAACAATCTGAGAGACAAGCATAACACACATAACACTAGGCAAATAATATTGTAAAACTCAGAGACCACGTCTTTCTTTCTAGTTCTCACGCGTGCCACCAATAGCCGCCTCAGATCTCACTGTCTCGTCAACATTTTCATGCAGGATACCACTGCCCACTTCAGTTTTCGTGTTCTCCTCGACACCAAGCACATCATCCATGACATCATCCTCTGCCGCATTTATATCCTCCACATCATCCTCATCTTCATTATTTCCAGGGATTTTTCGAGTCTTAGGGCCGTGCTCGAGCTGATGGGTCTCCAGTTCTTTGTCCATGGTCTCCTGTAAGTTCGCCGTCATGTTATTACCCCTTCTATTCTTCCTCCCGTTTTGCCACCTCTCGAGCTCGTTATCGACGTTCGCCACATACTGCTCTGAAATCTGCTTTTGGTACTGTGATAGTTCCTCTCTCCTTGCAGCTTTCCATTCTTGAAACATCTGTTTTCCGTTCAACATGTCAGTAAAATCTTTTTTTTTCGCATTATTTCATTTTTTTTCTAATTTCACCTTCTTTTTTTTTTTTTTTTATCAAACAGCATATGGTGAAAAATAGATGAATAGGAATCAGTTGAGTTTTCTCGGTTATCCAGCAGCATTTTAGATTCTAATTTAAGGCTTATAAAGAAAAACTTGAACGAAAAATTCACCTGGTCTTTCTGCTCCTCAGAGGGAGTTGCTCCTTGATCAAGTGGTTTACTGAAGGTGTAATAAATAGGGGGCTCTGCCTTGGTCCTGGAAGATAACACGAGGGAAGGGAGTAAAAGAAGAATGTCATATTATCATATTACATAGAAACTCGCAAGAAGACCAAATAATGAAAAGCAAGCAACTCCAGGTCATTGAGCTGCCTTCAATATTCTGTACATGAATGGACACTTATCTTGATGTCAATAAAATTGTGAATATGTACACTTTTGGACCTAAATAATAAATAACCTGCACCGGGAAAACCGAAATTGTGAGGGGAAAACCGAAATTGTGAGAAATTAAATTACACCACCAAATCCAAACTATACATTCCTGTCCAAAACAATAGTATACCTTATGAAATTTCCAAGTTTTTTGTGGTGCTCACTCCACCGTAGAAACAGCAATTCCAACTTCTTTTCCTCTGCCTTTGCAGCAATACGTGCTCTGAGAGTCTGAGGTGAAACAAGCAAAATAATTACAAATGGATGCATAAAACTAAAATATTACTCATTCTACCAGAGCAAAGAAGGTCTGAAGGCAAGGCCAAGAAAACTAGACCAAATCTCTCTTCCGCTTTTCAGCAATCTGTTCACGCTCTTGCTGCCTCAGTTTTTCACTCTCTTCACGTGCTCGTTGCTCAGCCTACATACACATCAAATTTCCAAATAAATATATACTCAAGAAACACACAGCTCTCTCAGTTCAGCTTTAACAATTTACGCCTTTGATGTACGCTATCCCAAGAAAAACAAAGAGAACAGAGGAATAATCCTTAACCTAATGAAATCTATACCTAGTTCACTTTGTTGACTAGTAAAGGAGAAGCTATATATTAATTTTATAGATGACTTAAAAAATCTATTTCCTTGATGGTTTGAGCCAAAGCCATTGCCAATAAGGGGAATAGGACAAACAACCCGAAAGTATGGAACTTATTCATTTTCGTACTTTTTTTATCTGCAAAAATACATAAATTTTAAGAGCAGCTTAATTTCACATGATAAGAAAAGGTATAAATATAGCAAAAAGAAGTAGCCCACAAGCCTCAGTGATAGGAAAAAATAACTAAACAAAATGCTTCAAAAACTACATCAAGTCAATAAAAGTTGGTAATTGAAAGATGAAACATCTACTTTTATGAAAATAAACCCAGATGAGACAGTTCAAGGCCTTTCTCAATGATTTGACAAGTACCATATAAACCGAGAGAGTAAGAGGATGAAGATTCAGTAACCCAGGATATAGACAAATTTAAGAAAGCACCAATTTCAACCAATGTCTAAATGGTGTTCACAATTTTAAGCAATGACTAAGCACCAAGATAATCCACCATAGTAATTATTTCAAACCGTGGTAAGTTATGTTGCATCATTGCTAAACGTGCTTTACAACAATAGTACAAATTAGGAAAATCCACAAATAAATAATAAGGAGATATATACTCACCCTTTTCAAAGAGTCAGATCTCTTCATATATGCCTCTGAGCCTGACAGTTGCATGTCTTCTTTCCTGAACCTCTGAATATGCATCCCATAAAAGAATGAAACCAAGAGTATCATCAGTTTGAAAAAAAAAAAAAAAAAAGTGTTTAGAAGCTTGTTATATAGCGTGAATCCAGCAAAGGTGATTCTCTAAGCATGTGCATTTAGGTGACTAAGCTTTAGAACTATAGAAGTCGTGATCTCGTAATACATGATTTCTAAGATTATTTTAGCATGCAAGGTTAAGAGAAATGTGCCTTTGATTGGAAAAGAACAACACAATCCCTAATCACTCATGCACATTATATCACAAGATTCTGAACCAGTCAATTTCACAATTTAACATTCCCAATTTGATTGTGTAGATGATCCTCCGTCAGAATTCAGATCCTCCTCCAACAATAATTATGGAAAAATAATAATTATTATTACACTGCAGCAGCCCCCGCTTCTTGGTCCATTAAGAGTAGGAGCTAGCAGGCCAAATAGAAAAAAAATCTAACTATTCCCATATTCAAGCTAACTGCCCATAGAAGACCATATAAAAAATGGCAAAGGCACAATTTTAAAAGTCTCTTAAAAATAAAAATAAAAAATTAAATATATAAATGGCTCTGTGATATACAATTTCAAGAACTGAAAACAGAAAAAGTAGCAAAGAGCAAGATTCTTTACATGAGTGGCATATCATGAAATCAAAAACAACAATATCATATAACATGCACACTTAACAAGATCAGAAATCATGAAGATCAAGCCATCTGAAAACTGATGTATGGTCAGCTATTCAGAAATCATATAACAAAAAGCTAACGAGAGTAAAAAATGACACACCTCTAAAGTCCCAAGAAGCTGGCCTAACATCCTCTTGTTCCTGCTGACCAAACTAGGGTCCTCGTCCTTAGGCAACACCCTTGGTGTGTGTTGGGCTGGAGGGATGTCAAAGTCCTAAACAACCCATCAGAAGGAGCAATAATTCATTCAGGTATTCAACTCCTTGCATAACTGAATACAACACTAATTTCACATACCTAAGCAAAACATGTGTGTGTGTGTGTGTGTGTAATAAAAAGGAAATAAAATCTAACCATTTTAGATGGCCTTTGGTTTGTATCCCTCACAGTCCAATTTGATTGCATTTTCTCACCCCGCCTCGAATTCGCATTTGCATTTGCATTAGCATTCTGCCCTGTATTGTCCGCTGCATTGTTCTTTTGCACGTCATTTGCATCTTCAGATCCATCCTCTGCTATTTCTCCATCCTCAACCTTCATTACGGGAGATCCAAAAAACATAATTTTGTAATACCTCTCGATTTATAAAGGCGCTCGTGCATTAGTATTAAGACAAAAAATGCTTAAATTTCGAAAGGGAATAATCCAAATCTAAAATTGGGGATTTGAATTCCATTAGCATCAAACACAAAGCAAACACAATTAACTGAACGTAAGAGGGTCTCACACCTTCACAACAGCTGAAGATAGTCGCCTCTTGGCTGGTGGCCGGTCCTCCGCATCATTCCTCTCAGCCTACATAATTGCCCCAAAATTAAGAGATAAATGAAAACCAATCCGTCTTAAGTGCATACAAAGAGAGATTCAACAAGAACATTACAGGCCGAACAAAGCCACGCTGGCGGCCGCCGTTGGCGGCGATATTGCGAGGTCCGGCGCCTGAAAGGCCACCGCGGCGAATCCCTCTGGGATCTCGAAGCCGCTCCGATATCTGCCGCACAGGATAAAAAGGGGAGTTTTGTCAGTGAAACCAATAATAAGCGAGAAAAATCGAAATTTATGGTGTGCGAATAAAGTGACGGCGGCCAAAATACGAAGAAAGACCTCACGCTGTTGGCGATAGAGCTCATCGATCTCTTTCCGCAGTTCCTCCTCTGTCTTTTCAGCTCCGACTGTGCTGCTCATTGTGTGTGTGTGTGTGAGAGAGAGAGAGAATGAAAGAGCGCTCTGCAAAAACCCTTGCAATCCTGTACTGAATTATACTTTTTCCAATATCCTTTTTTTTTTTTGTAACTTTTATTTATTTATAGACAAAAATTCTATGGAGCCATCGGATGGTTTTCTTATGAGTCATCCATGACTTAGTGTATTGACACTTGTCCAAAGTGCATTTATTGTAGGACACATGTCAATACACTATTTGTGAATAACTGTGGATGGCTCCATAAGTCGAGTCATCCGATGACTCCATAGCAAAACTGTATTTATCGATGTCCAGTTTTTGGTTTTTTACATTAGCAATGTTCGATGTGGCAATACAATGAAACAAATTTTTAGCCGATAGTAAATCAATAATTTTGTAACTTACTCGTGATGGACACATATTAATATGTCCATGATTTATGCGGCATACACACATTAATATTGTTAATATGTTCAAAAAAATAAAATACATCACCACATAAGAGCTGGGCATATTAACATATGTCTACCGTGGGTACAGGGACGTTATGACATATTAACATGTGCCCACCGTGACAAGGGAGCATTACTAGATAGTAAAAACATTCTTTGTTGTTTTTAATTTTTTTTTCTTTTCAATGATCTCAACAATATATTATATTTGTATATGAAAGGAAAATAAATAGTATAAATAATTTTGATAAGTTGTTTGTTGCTCCATTTTTCTTCTACCAACTTAGTATAGACAAGTCAACAGTAAGGCTCCCTTTGCTTCTACAGTCCCAGATAAGTTTGTCTTCCTCGTTAGGCTCCAGTCCTTTGATGTTGAGAATGGCTTCACTTTCTTGCTTTAAAAGTTGCTCAATATCAGATCTCTCTTCATGGTCCTTCCAGATATGTCAATAAGGTCCTTCATCCAAACAAAGTCTCCACTTTCTTTGAATATTGTTAGTTGGCGGCTTGTGTTAGGTATACTGTAAAAGCTCGACTTTGGATTTCCGACTGTACAATTTTTAATGAGATTCGTGTTTTAGTCAAGCGTGTGTTAGCTCGTTCGTGTTTCTTTAGAGCCCGTTCGTTCAATAACCGAGTCGAGCTCGAACATGTAATTTAGCTCGTTTATTATTCGAATCAACACGAACACGTTCGCGAACATAAACGAATATTCACGAACAATAAGATTTTTAATAATAATAGTGAATAAGCATTTCTTAAGTTTTGATTATCAAACTTTTCGAACAATTCGAGCTAATCGAACGGTCGAAAAGTTCAAATAATTTCTATAAGCTAAACGAGTTGAACACGAACTTAATTAATGAACAACTTATAAATGAACGAAAACGAACATAAATTTAGGCTCGACTAGTAAACAAACGAACTCGAACAAGCTCGAATATTAGTCGAAAGCTCGAGCTCGAACAACCCAAGCTTGGTTCGGTTCAATTCGTTTGCAACACTAAGGAGTATTTGTAACCAGTTGTGAAGTCATTTGTACTCTCTTGGTTGAATTATTCTCTATAATATTAGACAATCCCAATAATTAAAGAAAATAAATAAAAAAAAAAATCACACCAAAAAATTTAGCCAGCGATTTTTATCTATTTATTTTAGTATATTGTATACTCCACAAGTTGACTATTGATACCAAGAACTTAAAATAATATACTACATCTTTTTTTTTTAATATCATTTTGGTTTTATTAACTATTAACCAAATAAATGACGTTTTGAATATTTTATACATATTTTTCTATTATTACCCTGATTTAGCTAATAAATACACTACACCTTTTCATATTCACTCTTATTTTTCACATTATTAATTTTCATTAAAGAGTGTTATTCTTAACCAAAAAAAAATAATAATTATTGTGCAATTTCTCAAAGTGACATTTATTATGAATAGAAAGAAGTACAATTTAGGCGTATTGGTGCAAGTTTCAACATTAAACTTTCACAGGAACCACCAATCTCTAGCTACTTTTTTATAAACTTGGACTTGCAAAAACATATACAAATTGCTACTTGGATACATATAATTCTACATGCATGCAATTCACATAAACAATTGATGCTCAGATCCATATCAAACACATGGTGTATCAAAATAATTAGGGATAAGTATTTTGCAAAATCCCAGATCTACAAGTATTTCATAACTTTCTAAATATCATAATCAAATATAAAGCAAAAGGTGTGTTTGCAAACTCTAATCAAACACTAATACATAATCTACATAATCACTTTTTCTTTCCCTACAATTTCTTGATTTATCATTAATTGCCATTGGGGACTGTCACGTCACCAGCTCATCGACCCGACTTGTCGTCCCTAGGGGCTGTTTGGCTTTCTTTATTAATGAGGGTTGAAATAGCTGTTGCAAGAGCAACCCTAAACCTAGGATCAGAAGAAATTTCACTCACATTGTTTTGATCACTTTTCGAGCCCATCTCTTGTGCAAGTGTGCGGATCCCATTGATGTAATTGCCTAATAGTACTTGTATATGCATCCAATTAGAATAGCCTAATTGGGGCAAAGGACTTGAACTTGTGGCAGCGTTGATGTTGTTGTTTGTGAGGTCAAGTACAATGCCTTTAGTAATGTGATGAATATGATGATGATAAGTGGGGCTAATAAGGGTACTTAGGTTTGGTAAGTAGGGAGAATTCGAAGAGCGATTTATCAAATAATTAGGTGGGTTGTAAGAAAAGTTCGATTGGTTTGAGGATGATGTTCTGAGGTCGTTACAATTAAAAGGATTGTGATTTAAAAATGTGAAAGGCGGTTGTTGATGATGTTGTTGATGCCATAGTTGTTGCGCCCACTGGCAGTGGATGGTTGTGTGTTCCTTCGTATGTCGTGATCAAAATCGACATATCCTCCAAACACCTTTGGACCTATTGAATTAATTATTAGTTTCATATCGGTTATAAAAAAATTGATCATATGTGTTGTAAGACCCTCTCAATTACCTAAAACAATTGAATTACATATGAAAAAAAAAATCATGGTAATTAATAATTATGACCAAATAGCTATTTTTAGCATCTTAGAAAGTGTGATATTTTACTTGCCAAGTAATTGTTTTTGTCAAAAAAAAAAAGTATTTCACTCCCAAATAAACTGCACTTCAAAGAGATTTTCGCGCGCTTTTACTATAGCTACATGTAGAGCATATATAATATATATAGTTAATTAGGTAAGAGATATATGTTATGTACCTGTTTTCTCACAGGGCATCCTGGGGCTACGGTGCAACGATAATAGGCTCGGGGGCACGGGTTACCTTTGGCAACCTTCTGCCCATATTTTCTCCATTGGCATCCATCATTCATCTGCAGCCAATTCGTTATTAACAATTCTTCAATTCAATAACTAAATTGAAAATATTAAATTTATCAAACTAATAGCGGATTGTTTTTAATTGAAAATACAATGATTCGTCTTAATTGATGGTGGTTGAACTTACAGTGCATGGCTGATTCACATCTTGTCCTAAAACAAACCTTAGCTCTTTTATTACTAGGTGCATGTGATGAACTCATATTATTAATCCCAGTTTGCAAGTCGTCGTTGCATTGTAGTTAGCCTGATTGTGTCGACGTAACAAGTCCCGTGATTTCGCCTTCGTTTTTTTCCCTTTTTTCTCCATCCGAGCCACTTTGCAGCCCCAAAGACAACCCTAATTTATCACCATTTTTGTGTAGTACTAAATTTTGTGGTGAAAGTGTTGTTTGGTTACTTGTACTTTTATGAGTTGACCTTTGACTGATATTGGGATCCTAGTTTTAATATTATTAAAAGGAAAAGGGAAAAAAAGAATTGGTAAATATCAAGAAACGTTGAGATTTTGCTCATAATCTTCAAATTTAAACTAACTAATTAGTTACCTTAATCTGATTATTTTGCCGAATGATGGAAAATTTGGCATGCAAATCCCTGTAACTTTTCACGGTTTTCTTGACCGCCGTTCGTAGGATTTTGTTCTCCTCCTTCATCTCATTCATCTTCATCTGCAAGCTTGACAAATAAAGGAGAAAGCCATATAACTCTCAAATTTTAACCAATATAAGAAATTAAACTAAAAATATGACAGTAGGATAAAATAAAAAAGCAAGTTTTGTACCTCTTATTCCTTGAAGTTTTGAAAATTTTCATGAAGAGTGGTGCAAACACTATATTCAGTTTCTTGAAATGGAAGCTCATTAGCTGTTGCATGCCCGCCGTCTAAAAGCGCGTTTTCATGCTCGTTTTTTGGTTGTTCGTGTTGAGCATCCAACTTGAGAGAGAGGTCAATTTCAAAATCTTTCCCAACTCCCTCCCCTTTTTTTGCATCCATATTTTGAATTAATCACGAGCAAGCAATACACGCAAAATGAACAAACAAAAACAATGAGACTTGATTTTTTAGTTATTTTGAATGAGAGAAGAAGTATGTATGCAATGATATAAATTTATAAATAAGAGGTAGATGCATTAATTAAGACATGCATCTAAGTTTTGACTTTAGGAATTTGATTAATTCTTAATTACTCCCTAAGCTGGAATGGCATGGATAATTTATCCAATCAACACAGCCCGGGGACTACCGTTTATTTTAATTTTTATTTATTTTTTAACGACGTTTGATTTAATTCTTCGGTTGAGATTTCAAGTGACATTTTAAAACTTCTTAAGATTTAATACTTCTTAAGATTTTCAAATTTTGGAAAAATCTATAAAATTAGTCTATGGGATTTGAAGTAAGATTTCTTATAAGGTTTTTTTTCTTTTGAAATTCCAGTAAATCTTAAAAAGTCAACATATCTTAGTCTCAAATAAGTTATATATCTCAAGATTTTGTAAGACTTTTTAAAATCTCAAATAAATAACCCAAGTCTTTTAAAAGTCTTAAAAAATACACAAAGATTTCTAAAGTCATAAAAAAATTTTAGAAATCTCAAATGAATACACCCCCTTAGGTAGTCATTGCAAAATGACGACACTGTCCTTTGTGTGATGTTGTCGTTTTTTTTTTCTCTTTTCTTATCCATACAATATCAAGGTTGTCCTCAATGCTCTTCCAGTTTTCGCAATGTCCTGCTTCAAGCTCCCTATTGGTATCTACAAAGAGATAGCTCAAATTTAAGCTCACTTTTGGTGGAGTAAAACTAAAGATAAGGCTAGAGGAATTCATTGGAAGAGGTGAGATCTGATAACTCAACCAAAACTGTATAGAGGCCTGGGGTTCCAAGACATCCAACTTTTTATTTAGGCTTAATCCTCAAACAACTTTGGAGGTTTACCACTCAACCTCAACTTCTGGGTCTTTATCTCTCAATTTGCACAAGGCCTGAGAAAAGAAATCAAGAACGACAGACAAACTAGAATCCTTGATGTAGGATGGGTGCCCTATTTGGTTGGGAAAAGTCCTTCACCTGCAAGCTCATGAAGTAATTCTCTTATTTGGGTTAGTGAGTTACTAGAAGATGGAGGATCAAGGTGGAACTGCAGTCTAATCAGAAGAATCATCTTAGAGGAAGAAAGCTCATCAATCATTCAGACATTTAATCTTGATCCATCTTAGGAGGATAGGTGGAAGTGGAGTCTTCAAAAGAATTGAGCTTTTTCAGTGGTCAGCTCTTACAAACATCTTACGGAGAAGAAAGTTCTGCAAATTGACCAAGCAGAGAAAGCTTTTCAGCCAGTGGGATAGAAAGATTAGGGACAGAAGCTGGAAGTTGAGAGTTAAAGGCAAGGTGAAACATTTCATCTGCAAGTGTTTTACTGGAATACTTCCTGTCAGCTTGAATTATGGCCAAAGAAAGTCAGGGTGGATGTAGTATGTAAAATGTGTGGTGAGGATGTAGAGACTATTGAACACTTATTTTTTAACTGCAGGAGAGCTAAAAGAGTATGGAAGTTGGCATCCCTTGATTGGGAAGAGATTCAAACTCAGTCTTGAGCTTCAAGCAATGGTGAAGGCAAGTTTGTTCTACTTATAGGTCTAAAATCTCCGAGGCTCGCATCCAATTAACAACCTACATCTTATGGTGGCTTTGGAGGTCTAGAAATCTATAGTTATTTCAAGTAATAAAGATACTTGAGGATATCTTAGTGAAGAGAGCTTGGTTGGAGTGGCAAGAATTTTCTCTTGTGGCTTATTGAAGTAATTGAAGTATGTGAGGTTAGATAAAGATCATTCAAATACAATTTTCTATTTAAAACTAAATGAATTTTATGAAGTTGGATTAAGATCATTCAAATACAATTTTCTTACATAATCTCTTCACGCCAAATAAAAATCAATAGTTTATCGAATACAAATGACTCGTTAGAAGTTGAAAGTGAGTCATAACGGTCACTACCTTACATAATATGGATGTTATACATATACTTGACAAAGAGAATGAAAAAGGTAAAAATAGTCATTTTCATCTTATTGTCAAAGTAATTTATTACATATTTCACACCACATTCATATATTAATTTATTCACCTTAGGAAGTGTGAATGCATCATCCGATTAATATGTAACAGTTGTGAGATGGATGAATTTGCAACACTCATGTGGTCCATTCGCATATCCTTCGCACTTGTTTGGGTGAAAAAATAAGTAAGAAGATACTTTGCGATGAATATGCGATACTTATGCAATTAAAATGCGACAATTATGCAGTACATCTCATGACCTTGGGGAAGGGGAGTAGTCGAAATTCTTTTCCACCTGTGGCTGGAAAGTGTGTAGTTGTTATTCGGGCTGCAAAATGAGTAGCTGTTATTCGAACCTAGTTGTTCACTAACATTGTTTGGTTCAATATGTGAAAGTTTGACCTCGACTCGCTTATATACTTAAAGAACCATGCTCGAACAACTAATCAAGTTTCTCTATATCAAACCAGTTAAGTCAAGCATTACAAAAAAAAATGATTCAATTCCAATAAAAAATTCGATTCAATTAACCGATCACAATTATCCAAACCGCACCGAAAACCAAAATTTTAGAAAAATGTAAACTGAAAACCGAACCAAATAATCGGTTTCAGTTCGATCCAAACTGAATTTTTGGTTTCGGACGGTTCGGCTCGGTTAACCGAACTTTGTGCACCCCCTATTTTTGGGGTGAAAAATGTTGTCATTCGGTGGTTTAAAAACTTTAATATGTATATATAGTGTTGATGAAAAAAGATTTTTCTCATAGATAAATGAGTTTGTTTCAATTTTGACTCAAACTCGTAATTGCGAAATTATTGTAATGTATAATTAAAATAGAAAAAGCTTCCAAATTTGATTGGCCACTTTTAAGGTTGACTTTTGGAATAGTTTGACTTTGGACGAAGCAAGCGTCGCCGCAGTTGATTCTCTCCTAGCGACTCTCTCAAACGTGATTAAATTTTTAAATGAATATCAACCATATAGAAACTTGTAGTTAGGTGCTTCATATGATAGAAAACTGGATTTAACTTTATTAGAAATAAATCGATATTAATCCCAAGAGCGTTTATATCGAATAATCGAGAATCATAACCTAATAGCGGAAGCATACCTGATGGATTCATATTGATTGATTAATTTGATTTGGGATTTGAAAATCTTCAAAAAGACCATGAATTATTCCTTATTTTCTTTCGGACGCATCAAAAGAAAGAAACTTGATTCTGCTTGAAACTGATGCCCCCTTTCTCCATTTTATATTGATTAGCAATGAAATTAATGCAAGAAAAATCGACAACAGACAATCTACTGCCAACCACTTGCCAACTACTGCCAACCAATTCATTTATATAATAATAATAATAATAATAATAATAATAATAATAATAATAATTATTATTATTATTATTATTATTATTATTATTATTAATTTTTATTTTTATTTTCTTATGGGTTATCCTAACGGGCATCACTTTACTTTCACGGCTTTTAGGGACTCCACCCATAAATAATTTTGACCCAAATTATACGTTATTTAGGTCCTTAAGTTTAATATTATTATTTGTTATGTCACTAAATAATAATATTATCGGGTGTCCACATTTAATCATTCCACAATCTAAATTAAGTTCCTTAGCCAATGTACAATAATTTGATCACTTAATTTGACTAAACAATATAATGACCCAATGTATTAATTACACATATTTAATCCCAAAATAGATCTAACAATCTCCCACTGGATTAAATATGTGTCCTGATAATACATTATACTTATGAGCTCAAAATATGGTCATTATTACAGAACTTAAATAATATGGTCCATTAATCACAATAGCATATGACTAAAGCAGTTTTCGCCGTATAGACACAGCTAAACTATCCATAATCACATATATTGCCATGATTAAATGACATAGATCAAATTGTGGAACATGTGGCATGAAAATTACATGAATGTGATCAACACATGTCAATTTTCAACTAGTCCAAACTTAATGAGATCGTTAAGTACCAAAACATAATGTAAAAAGTGTCATGAACCAAAACTTTATTTCTGATCAGAATAAGTACTTTATATATCATCGAATAAAAAATGACGAAATATGTAGCAAATATTCCCACTAGAGTGAAGCTTCCTGAATATGTAACACACCCATATGAGCAGTATGCTCGTAAAATACCATAGGTGTTACACCTTTAGTTAGGGGACTGCTAACATAGATTTTGTTCTTTAAGTGTTCGATGGAAATTTGACCAATTTGTACCCTCTCCTTCACAGCTAGGAACTTAATGTTAATATGCTTTGACTTAGACTAGATCCTATTGTTGTTGGAGTACAAAACAGCTGATTTATTGTCAAAAAAAATCTTAATAGATCTTTCAACCTCCGGAATGATTCGCAGCCTTGTGACAAAGTTCCTTAACCAAATTCCATGTTGTGATGCTTCAAAACACGCCAGAAACTCAGCTTCCATAATGGAAGTGATAACAAGTGTTTGTTTAGCACTACGCCAGGAAATGGCACCACCAGCCAAAATAAATAAGTACCCAGACGTAGATTTTCTACTGTCTTGGCACCCAGCAAAATCAGAGTCAGAATATCCA